CTCGCCCTGGGGAGTCCTGCTGTAGGCATTAGGAAGACAGAATGAAGATTTCTTTTCCAAATTAAGTTGTCAAGGAGCTCATTTACTCTACCCAGTGCGTGTATGTGGGCAAGCTGAAGATGATGATTTATGAGGCTATTGGCACTTAAGTAATTCTGGTGATGGAAATCCACAGCAAAACCCACTTAGGAAGACAAAACAGTACTCCTATTATCTGTAGGAGGTAAAATCACGTGGCTTTTGCTCTTACAAATTTCAAGTTACCCTACTGGGTCTGGGAATGCAAGGAAAGCTCATTTATTTAAGATTCATGCTTTGCAGTAACATTATGATACAGACTCATATACGTGCCATTTTTTTTAAAGTTTATATTCATTGGATCTTTTAAAAGACTTTCGATGTGACTTTTTGGTTTTCGTGGGTTTGGAGTATGAGAATTGGGTCTGTCCAATCACATGGCAGATAGCTATGAAACACACTGAAATTTAAAATATCTTTAAAATAATGAGATGTAGCCCTCCACCTGCAAAGGCAGTGAATATGTTTTCTGGTTAATTCTACCTGCAAACATATATTTTAAAATAAGAAGTATACAACCAATGACTGGGGTCATCCTTAGTTAACTTCTTCACAGTGTACCACAGAAAAAAGTTACGGAAAATAAGAGATTAAAATGGTAGAAGCGAAATGGATATAGTATTTTAATCTCTGTATATTTGGTGTTCTTGCTCTATAAATGCCAAGAAATGTAATCTCAGGAATCTCATGAGAAGTAAAAGACTTTGATCTTAAATTTTAAAATACATTCAGAATGGCTCGGTGCCTATGGCTCAAGTGGCTAAGGGCCAGCTACATACACCTAAGGTGGAGGATTCAAATCCAGCCCAGGCCTGCCAAACAACAATGATGGCTACAACCAAAAAACAGCAGGACGCTGTGGCTGGTGCCTGCGGTCCCAGCTACTTGGGAGGCTGAGGCAGGAGACTCACTTGAGCCCAGAAGTTGGAGGTTACTGTGAGCTGTGATGTCACAGCGCTCTACCCAGGGGGACAGCTTGAGGTTCTGTCTCAAAAAAAAAAAAAAAATACATTCAGAATAATCCCATTATTTATTTATTTATTTATTTATTTTTGGAGACAGTGTCTCATTTTATCACCCTCTGTAGAGTACTCTGGCATCACAGCTCACAGCAACCTTCAGCTCTTGGACTTAGGCAATTCTCTTGCCTCAGCCTCCTGAATACCTGGGACTACAGGCACCTGCCACAATGCCCTGCTACTTTGTTGTTGTTGTTGTTGTTGCAGTTTGGCCGGGGCTGGATTCAAACCTGCTACTCTTGGTATATTGGGGCCAGCATCCTACTCACTGAGCCACAGGCACCACCCAGAATATCCCAATTTAGTAGCAAAGTGCTAGCTTTAGAAATAGAACCACTAACACAAATAGACTTCCACATAAGCAAGGTGAAGGGCAGAACTCGTTGTGTAGTTAACTTCTTTCACTGTTTTTTTGTGTGTTTCTGCAGAGCATGCAGTAAACCCTTGAGAGCAATTCAAGGTAACCAGATTCTATTTACACCACCTCAAAGATAATGTAAAGGAGACCTTCATTCATTTGTATTTGGGCATCAGAGTATTATATCCTTCCTTATATTGTCAATATGTAAACAAACATTAGCTATTATATTCACAGCAAAGTTATCTTATTTCAAGATTTTTCCTTTTGAAAGACTGTAAACTTATCATCACATAAATTGTTCTGTCTGTTATCTCTGAAGCATACTGGAGCAACCAACACCTTTGTTTTGCTTGTATGAAGAGATTCATTTTCACTCACATATTCCTAAATTCCAGTATGATGTGGTCAATCTCTGTTTTATTTTTTATTATTATGTTAAAAAATCGTGTGCATATGTTCTTGTATTTACAGGCAGAGAATATATATGTCATAGTTAAGAAATATATGAAGATGGCAATTTTTTGGATAGTGAGGAGATACAAATAAAAGTAAAGATTTAATAAAGGTTTTGTTTTGCTTTACCTATTTTTTCCAATTCTTCTGATGATTAATGTAACTAGAGTTAGCTTGAAATTATTTTTGAAAAAAGTAAATCTATGTAACCTACAGAACTGCACGTGTTTTCATGCTAATATTTAATGTAGCCTTATATTTTTACCCTGAGCAGCCATGGTAAGCACACGCTTTATAGATGTAGATAATTTCACTTTTAAGTGAACATATAAATAAAAAATATTAGGATGCAAAGAAGGCTCAGAAATTAAAAGCAGTAAGCAGTATCTTAGGATCTAGAATCAATCAAGGTTGTGATTCAGATTGGGGTATATTTCAGTTAAAAATGGTATTGTTTTAAAAGCACTTATAATTTAATAGGATTAATATTTACCAACCACAGCAACTCACTATTATCATGCCATGATATTAGTGCCTCATTTTGTTACTTGTGTTAAAGATGTTACAACTCCGTATGTTTTATAAAATATTGATATTACATGCTGAAACAGAAGAGTGAATTTGAACCATGTAGAATAACCAAGTAACATAACTGAGAATTGAGTTAATATGAAGGTATATAGGTTTTGATATTATCTTTCTCAAAAAAATCAAAGAAAACTTCGATATAGTGCTACAGTCTGAGAGCCTATTAAGAAATATGAAATTTCACTTTCATATAAAATTGTTCTTCTGTCCAATATTCATTTTAAAAGTTTCTTCATACATTGCATGCTGAAAAATCTGCTCTTCCAGAAACAGCCTCCCTGCCATAGTACCTCCCCAAGTTGTACTAGTGGTGTTTCCGGTTCTCAGAGCACCTCTGCGGGACCCTCCCAGCAGCGCTGGGTGGCGGGCTGACCCCAGCGTTACCTCTACTCCACAGATGGAAAGCCAAGGCCCAGGCACAGGCTGCTGAGATCGCCCTTCAGATGTTACGGTGACCTCTTTTTTCTAATTAAAAAAGAAATCCAAATTGTGATCAGACCTATGTATTTTTGTAGACCATACACAAGAGCTTCATATGCCTCCAAGATCCTCAGCCAAACAGAGCCTTGGCAGAGGCCGAGGGGGATGCCGAACGTCAGAGATACCAAGGGCAGGGCTTCTCCCCAAGGCCATGTTTGGCCTCCTTCTCAACACAGACAAAGGAAAAGTCCAGATGAAGCTTTTTTTGTGTAAAATAAACTCCTGAAATATACTCATTTTTAGATTGGTCAATTTAATAACTTATTTTATTATACAGTAGACCCCAATAACAACCTGTATATAATAAAGGTGTAAATACAAACACATAAATGTAGCATATATTAAGTAATAAAAATACCAAGTACTCATATATCTTTCAATCTCTGAAATACTATATTGTCCTCAAACGAGGTTTCCTGCTTGTTTGAAATTAAACACAAGATTAAGGAGATGAGGGAAAGAGGATGAAAATAATTTGGAGGAACAAAACACACAGAGAAGATATTCCAGCATCTTTCTATTCACGGGACCGGCCTTCATAAACAATGTCTGGAGTACAGATGCTAATCTCGGAGCCACGTTCCCCGAACGCTTTTGGGCTGATTTGTTTTTCTCACAAACTGCAAAGGTATTTTAACTCAAATTAAACTCTGTATCCTCCATGTAAGGACAGGAAAACCTAGACCTTAGTCCAGCTCTACAGTTTTTCATTTAGAAACACCCACTGCATTTCTTATTTCAAGCCTGTTGCCTCTCCATCCTCACACAGAGTTTTGGAAACAACTCATGTTATCTTAAAATGTTGGCTTCATTTCTGTCAGTGTTCACTCAAAGAAATATTGAATTGGAACTTGTATCACATAAAGATGATGTCTGATAAAAGCAATTAGCTATCCAGAAAATCTTCTTAACACTGTCTTTTCCACACCCCCCCAAATCTCCCTGTTTGAATTGTGTGTGTATAAACTGAAATGTATCTCAACGTACAATAGCAATCCAGACCTTAGCTAGGTCTGCACGTATGGGGGTGTGTGTTTGTGTGTGCAGTTTCCAAGACGCACAGTATGGATTCATCTTCCCCAAGTCCCGGATACTTGGCCTTTACTGCCTCACATCTTGAGAGTTAGGAGACAATGCAGAGGGATTAGAGCAAGCCAGACATCAAACCCATTTATTCTGCATCTTAAAGTAGGACTTTTAGCATCAATATTTTGGTTACATTGTCACACAAAGAACAAATCAACATCCGGTTTGAGGTCTCACATTTGATTGCTTTGGGATTTAGTGACATTTCCTTGGCATACGAATCCCGCACCCATCAACTTTCAGCTGTGTCTTAATAATGTTGTTGTACAAGTTGCCAAAAAGAGAAGGATTTGTAAAACTGCTCCAAGGATGCCTCAGCCAATACCTTCAACCACTGTGACTTCCAGGTGGCTTCCAGCCAGGTGCAGGCTGGAGAGCGTCAGCACGTCTCGCTTTCCTTGGCAGATCAAAAGAGGATCCTGAGGAAGGAGGGCTCCTCCTGTTTTCTTGAAGCGCCTGATCCCTGGGTGCTCACTCAGAGGTGGATCCGAAGCCATGAGAAGTCAGGGGATGCTGGGCACAAATCAGTGTGTTTGGTCAATACAGCTTCTGCTCCCAACTTAAAAAGATTCAGGACCACCCAGCAACACCAAGTTCTTAAACGATTCCAGGGCATACATCTTGAAAATAAATAAATAAGCTCCAGGTTTCTAAAGGTGCATCTCAGAATCTCTTCAAAAGAATAAGCAGAACTGTTCTTTGCTATTTTTTCACTTTGATAAAACAGGTACTTTTTGTTTAGTTTGGTCTCATCCAAAACAAGATACAGATGCTTTTTGTTTCGTCATGTTTGGTCTTATCTATGAATTCAACACACGTTTCTCTCCCCAACCCCAGTAAGAAAAATAAAACCCAGGTTGAGGAGGGACAGCTGAGTGTAGAAACAAAAGTAAAGCTTTTTTGAGGATAAAACACAAACAATACAAAATAAGAGCTGCAGTCCAATCGTGCAAAATTTGCTTCTCTAGATAAAGCACTTCCTGACAGGTTCACAATGTCCCCAGCCCCCTCCCAAGTCCTCCCATCCACCCAGTGGGGAGAAAAACACAGAATGAAAGGGAAGCCATTCTTTGTCTTAAGGCTATACAGACTCATACCGAACACATGGCAAGGACTGTCCTGACGGCTACTCTTTGCTGGGCTCTTAGTCTGAGCCCTGACTGCAGCCTGAAATCCACCCTGGGTCAGCGGCACTCCTTGCATTGGGACAACAATACAACATACAAACAGAAAAAGGTAAGTCAGTGGTCCCAACAATAAAATCCGATATTGACTTTACAATCACAGGGACAAATTGCTCAAATCGATAATTTCATTTCTCCTTAAGACCTTGTCGTCTAAAACTAATTAGAGGCCAGGTTCCCGAGAAATTGTCAATATTCAAAACAAACAAACAAACCAAAAAATACTGAAGATCTGGAAGGAAATCATTCTTCTACCGCGACAGTCTGATGGAGGTTGGAAACAGTTTGTCCTATTAGGGCAAGTTCAGGGTGTTTTGAAGGGTGGATTCCTGGGTCCAGATAGCAATTCTCCCACCATCCAGGGGGCTCTGTGTTTATAGAGGAAAAACCAAGAAGCCGGAGAACGTGGAGTATTTCCAGCCCCCCATGAGGTTGCCCCTCTCCAGTTTGAGGTGCACTTTGTCCTCTCTTTCCATGAGCAGCAGGACGCCATTGCTGGCAGCTTCTCTGGTAACATCCTGGTCTCCTGCAAATGCTGAGATCACCGGGTAGCCATTCTGCATTAAACTGACCTAAAATGCAGAGGGTAAAGCTTAGCAGACCATAAAGGGCCCCACTCCTACCATTACTGTTTCTCTTCTCCAAACGCCCCACCCCCACTCCCTCCTCCACCCTTCACCCGCAGCCCACACCAGGGGCCTGACAGTGAGGACTCACTCAGGGCTGGTTCAGAGCCAGCACCCCATCCCCCAGAGAGCTCAGATCCCTATTTCCCTCACCCACCAACCGTATGAAATAGTCTTTAGCAAGGAAGAACTATGAGCCCAAAGCTGAAATGGTCTAATTCTCTAAGCTACCCACCTGGATGGTTTGTCTGTTATACACTTTGACCACGTGGAAGCTGAAGCTATAAATTCCTTTTCTTGGTGCTACAAATATACTGGAGGCAAGGTCAAAGTGGTTGCCGATGTTTACTAATACCTGAAAAAGAAAAGGGAATACATACGCACAACGTGGCAGATGCTCTCCTGTGCACAGGTTTCGCTCATACGTGGATAACCACTGACAACTGCTCAGAATTAGCTGCACAGCAGCCGGGAACACAAACTCAGCACTCTCAGGCTTCCCGGGACAGAAGTCATACTGATGTTAAAATATCCTATAGCAAGAATTGATTTCAAAGGGACACTAATGAACTGTAAGGAGTAAGGATTTTCAAAGTAGACTGTACCTATGCATCCAAAAGGTGGATGTGAATTTTGGATGCTGGGGGAGGAGGCAGGGCACTGAGAAAGAATGGAAGGTGATGAGTTCGGTAAACCAATCACAAATTGAGATCTGTGGATTGGAGGGTCTTCAATGTGATGCCTTGTTTAATAAAAAAAAAAGAGTTCCATTCTGAAGGAATGCAGCTAGGTCTGTGGACAAGGAGATGAGTTCATTTCTGTAAGATTAGGCCTGGGCCCTAACACAATGTGCTCTAGGAGAAAACAGACCCTGTGAAGCTCGATCTCCAGTGTTTCCCAGGGCCTGGCACATTCCTAGGCTGCACACATTAGGTGCTCAATAATTGGTGGGGAGTGAAAGGCTCTGTTGTAAACATTTGCTGCCCAAGTTTTTTCGTACTTTTCTCTGAGCGATGTAGCTGTTTTTGTTGAGCTGTGGTGTCTTGCAAAGAAGCTCAAATAGAGAATCAGCACGTGGACGCCCATAGATCACACTAATAATTTTACAACATGCAAGAATAATGGGCAAATTAGGCACCTGATCTGAGATCACATGACCATGCAGATGGCCTTCCTCTGATCACAGAGGAGTGAGTGTTACAATGTCACAGGCAGAACTTCATGAGGGGCAGGTCTCCCTGGTGACCCAATTTACTTTCAGATGTTCAAGAAAGAATCTGGAGACTTTGTCTGGCTCCTGCTCCTATCCTCTCCATCATCCACAAATGCACAAGAAATAAGCTCCTTGGCTTTAAAAGCAAACATCCAGCAGCAACATCAAAACCCGGGATTAAGGATCTTGTCATCTAACCAGAAAAGAAACTTCAGCCGGACTCCCTTTCAGCGTCACTTCTCGCATGCTCATTACAGAATATCGTGCAATCCCCAAGGCAATGTGAAATGCTGCCAGTGACAACTGCTGAAATGGCTCCTGAAACCCGCCTGTTCCAGCTTCTCCAGCCCAGCTGTGAGCACCACTTCAGCCGCACTCCAGGGCAGGGCTGAGAAAGACACGCTGGGCTCCATTGTTAAACATAAGCACCTGCCAGGACTATTCTCAGCCTCCCAAGGCTGTGCTCTCAGTGCTCCTCACAAAGCTGTGGAAACGAATAAAGGATTCTCCACTGGAGCCCTCCGAGCTGCTGCTTCTTCCCTTCACCTCAACTCCTTCACCACAATTTTAAATTCTGGAAACCAGTGAACTCAGGGCTCTGCTGCAGATGAAAGAAAGCCCACCCCAGGCCCTGAAAACAGGCCTCGGGGCGGCTCAAACTGGGAAACCAGAGAAGCAGTATTGAACTCACCCTGCCATGGTTTGCTCATGTATAAAATTAGAATCCTACTACTATTTATCCTGTCTTACATCACAGAGTTCTCTTCACACCCAAATGAGACGGTGGATGTGAACATGCTGTGGAAAGTATTTATAAGACACTGGTAAGTGAATCACAATGATATAATAATAACAGCACATAAAGACTCCTGATAGAGCACACACTTCCCAAATGCCTGTTTCACTGTTTTTCCCTTTATCTGGACATAATTAAAATGTATATATCTTATAAACACAAGCCAATTAAAGAGACATTCCCCCTAAGTAAAACCCCCTTATAAATGATTCTTAACAAGGGTTTAAAAGATAAGTACACTGGCCTAGAATGAGGCGAGAGAGCGTGTGCGGGTGTGGGATTATCATCCTTAGGTTTAAACACTCTCAACAGAGAGAAGGTGAATAAGCCGCTATCTGTCAGTGGCCCAGGAATGCTCCATTTTGTGGGAAACATTTTGGCAAAGGGACTAGCTGATTACCTAAGCTTTGAAACCACTGTAATGTTTTCAACTTGTTTCTGAAAAAATAATAAAGACCGAGAAGGGATGACTCCAAAAAGAAGGTCACAACCTTTAACCCTGAGAACCAACAAATCAGAAAAGAAATTGCAAAGGCTTGATTATATCTCCGACCCTTCTGCTCTGAACCAAGTGGCAGAAGTTAAGTAGTTTAAGGCCAGTTAAGTCACTGATCTTTATTTTTCTAATTTATATAACCAGACACTATATATTCATATATTGTACATACCGCATTTGCATACTGAATATATTTCATTTACTATATGCTACATTTATATAACTACATGCTTCATTTTGTCTTGTATTTATATAACCAACCCTGCTATTTCACCCAAACTCTTCCTCCGCTATTTTTCTTGAAGGCAAACATCCCCTCCCCTAGACCATTCCTCAAAACAAGCAATTTTAATAAGCAATTAGCATTTTCTGACTGTTGGCTGAGACCACTTCTTGGAGGAGACAGGTTTAACTGCACTAAGTCCTTACGGTGGCCCCCTGGGTCACCGAAGACCACCAACCACAAATTTCCCCCACCCCACAGCGGAACCTGAAACGTGCGATGCTTCCTTTTGGGTATTATCTTTCGAATCTTTTACCAGGACTCTGAGAAAGCCAATCTTTAAAAGTAAAAGAAAAAGGCTACAACGTGAAAAGGTGGAAGGGGAGCAGCGTGTGCTGGGAAAAGAGAGGAGGCCGGAAAGGCCGGGTCGGGCAGCGCAGAGAGGAGACGGCAGCCCAGGGACCCCACGTCCAGGGGGCAGGGACCCCGCCGGGCGCCAGGCCCTCCCCTGCACCCGAGGCTGCCGGCGGCTGGGCAGGCCGGGGCTGACCTGGTCGAAGTAGATGGTCATGGTGCGATTGCTCATCTCGGACGGCTCGTGGTTGGTGCTCCGCGTGGCGGAGAAGGCCACCTTGGCGCTGCCCGAGCGCACGGAGATGCCCAGCGAGGAGGTGACGGCGCCGTCCGCCGACGGGCTCGAGTCGCACACCACCAGGCACTTGCCCTCCAGGACGATGGGCTCCGTGTCGTTCTGCGCCCGCACCGGGCAGCAGGCGGGCAGCAGCAGCAGCAGCAGGGCCAGCGCCGCCCCCAGGCAGGACCCGCAGCCCGCCGGCTCGCGCAGCGCCCCCCGGCGCCCGGGCATGGTCAGCGGCGGCCCGCGGGGGCCCCGGCCCGGCGCCGGCATCCGGGCAGGTGGGGGCGGCGCGCGGGGCGGAGGCGCGGGGGCAGAGGAGCTCCCGGGGGTGTGCGGGCGCCGGGCGGAGGGGCTTCTTCTGGCCTCCGTCCCCTGCTCTGATGGTCGAAGCCGGGGTCGTTCTCAGAAGAAAGGTGCGAGAGGACCTGTGAGGGAAAGAACCCGAACCCTTACACGGGAGGGGAAATGGCTGGGGACAAGGGGACCGGGCGCAGTTGACCGAAGCTCGGGGGCCCCCTCCGAAGGCCACTCCCTTGGTCCCAGACACAGCCACCTCTGTCCCTGGTTTGGCACAACAGGTCCGGAGAAACGCCGGGGAGCACTGAGCAGCGCATCCCGAAGGCTCCTGAGGGGCGCGTGGGGCTGCGGTGTGGTGAGGACCCCGCGACTCTGCAGGTCCTGGTCCAAGACCCCCAAGACGGCGTCAGCGACACCCCCGCCCATTGAGCCAGTGCCAGAGGGGTCTTACTACGCAGTTAAAGGGGAAAAAAAAAACCCTAGTGCTTGCTTTATCGCCTTCATGTCAGCGGGCATTTTCTATAAAGCGAGATTAAGAGCTCCTCTCCCTTCCTTTTTATCCTGTGTTTGTCCATCCTGCGGTGTTTTTAAAGTCAATTTAAGTCCCTTTGTTAAATATTTTATCCATTTTCGCCTAAAGAACAAACCCCAGGAATCTCCTCTGGGCGAATAAAATTAAGAGACAGAGACAGAGAGAGAGAAACACCAAACCCGAGCACCCACTTCCAGTGCCCGCGCAGCCCCCAGCGAGCCCGCTCGGAGAAACCCCTCGGATTCCTCTCTGGGGAAGGACAGAAAATGCTGAGGCAGGAACCTCAAGTTTTGCTTATGGTCTGGCTGGTTTCTAGAGCCCGGGTGCTCTCTGGGTCGGCGGGGAGGCAGCCCTCGCTGACTTACTCCGGCTGGCACTTTCCCCTGCCCGCGCTCCTCCCGGAGCACCAGACAGGTCATGTCAACACCCAGCCCGGGAACAGAAAGCAAGGAACCTCCCCCGCCCACAGTCTCCTGTCAAGTCCTCCAGGATTCTTTCCAAGAAAACAAGTTGTTTTCCCGATAAATCTCTTCTCTCCGGGCCGCGGTAATAGATGCTTTCTCGCCCTCTCCTCTGTCTTCCTTCTCTTTCTCTCCCCTTCCCCCCAAACAGCCCCCTGGCTGTGGTCCTCATTAAAATATGTGCATAAGGCAATTAACTCGGTGGGGGCGGGCAGGGTCCGGCTCGGGGGTTCGGTTACCTGGAACATCCATGATGGGCGAGCGCCACAGTCCGCGAAGTTGTTCTGCTTAGAGAGAATGAGGCGAGCGGGAGCTGTCGGGAGGAGGACACGGAGCGCGACCCTTCTCCCTGCGCGTGGCCAATAACCGCGCCGCCCCGCCCTGCTGCCTTCCCGCGCCGGCCGGCGCCCGCTCCGGGCACGCACCACGCCCCGCACCCGCGCGCCTCGCGCTGCGCCCGGGACCCTGGCTCCCCGCGTCCCGCTCAGCCGCGCGCCCTCCGCGCCCCGCACCGCGCGCCGGCGCGTCTCCCCGCACTCTGAGCGCGCGCACCGCGGCGGCGGCGCAGGTCCCGCACAGGTGCCTCGGGGACCCCCATGGCTCCCGCACCCAGCCCGCCCGCGGCGCGGCTCTGTCTCGGGTCTCGGTGGCCCGGGCCTGCCCGCCAGCCTCCGAAGGGCACAGCCGAGCACCGCCAACGCCCTCGGACTGCGTACACGCCCTCCTCCCGGTGTCGGTACCCCCTTCCCGCATCCCCGCCGCACCCTGCGACGCCCAGGTCAGGCTCTCACCCAAACACCCAGAGTGAAATCCTTCCAGATGCCTCTTTTTTAAAAAAATTAGACACCCTCGAAAGCACCGGTCGCTTCTCTTCTTTTAGATCCTTCCTTTTCTTTTCCAAATTCCTTCCAGGTCTTAATCTTGAATACCGTGGCCACTTTCATAATGAAAGGGGAAAGGCACAGTTTTCTTAAGGACTGGGATGGAGAGAAAAGGCTTGGAAAATTAATGATTTGAGGGCTGTGGTTCCAGACTCTCCACTTTGGAAAACGTCAGGTTTTGGCAGAGATTGAAGAAATGCCTCTCGCCTGGGTTTAAGTGGCTGCTCCTCTGAACCTCGGGACTCGTGGAGCGCCCTGGTACTCGGGTTTATTTATTAAAATGCGGGCTCTGAGCTCTAACGACCCGGGGAGACGCTCCGGTTTCCCAGCTGCGCCTGGAGCGCGGGCGAGACGCGCTAGCACGGACGAGGGGCGCCACCTACGGGTGCCGGAGCCTCCCTGCGGCGGGCTGCGGACCCGGGGACTTCCACCCGAGTGGGGGAGTCCCAGCCACAGGGGTGAGGGTTGCCTCGCGTCTTCTTCCACCCCTACAAGCAGCTCTGGGCTCTGTGAAAAATGCAACAGCAGCAGCAACGACAAAACAATAAAACTGGTCCTTACGCCTTCAGGCTGCTCCTCAGCGTCTTTGCCCGGACACAATGAAGCAGCACCCTGGTGTGCGCGGATCTTTACTGCTCTGACAAGCAACTCTGCCAGGAGGACGGATGCCGCAGTGAGGTTACCATCGGGTACCGCCTGCGCGACGCTTGCCCAGAACACTGGTCTGTATTGTCCATGCCGGCCTTACAATACATGTATTTAAATGTGCACTCTTTATAACTTGATTTTTGTTCAAACCTCGTTTAAAAAAATACCTTGTCCTTTGCTTTGCACAGAATACCGACTCTGACAGGCTAATCGAAGATAAACTCCACGTTGGCCAATGCTGTCTGTTAGAACAGAGCGTCTGCGTTGCTCATTCCTCCAGACTTCACACCTACCCTTTCTTCTTTGAAGATTTCAGCAGTGCTCTAATTCCAGCCTAAGCAATGTAGGCCTTTTCAGGGAGGGGGAATTGAAGGCCTTATTTCCCATAGACTCTCTCAGAGCTATTCTCTCGACTTAGAATAGAGCTGTCAAGGCCGCATTTCTAAGCACTAAAGATGAGATTCACGCCAGATCAGTTCAACTGGAATGGATATGCAGGGAGGCCAGCGCAAAGCAAAATGCTGCCTCGTACTGTTAGGGGAGACCGAATATTTAGGAGGTTCTAGGGATGTGATTAAAGAATCTCTGAGCCAAAGGCTTTCTACTTGACATAACATGCAGAATTGCAGGAAATATTCAATAGCTCCAAAATCTCTCATCCTTAACCATTTTATAACATAGCGGGCATCTCAACAATGTGTGAAGATAATACTAAACTTTGCTGGGAAGCTTTTTCAAGTCTACCATAGGTTGGCACGTTTATTACCATTTTTGTGAGTTCAACATAATGTAAATATTTCAGTCTGACTTTCAGATTCTTACTTCATTCCGATAATACATAAGTTTGATAGCGTCCGATTGTCAAAATAAGCACAACTATATTCCATCATAGAGAGTACTGATTTTGGTGGAAGTATAATAACAAAGGACACTATTACAAAAGCAATATCAGGCACAGACTGATAATTAAACCAAAGCGGGGATGCTAATTAAGTAGCGATACCTCTCACACACCTATAAATCTTTAAACAACAGCTCTGTTCAGCACCTTTGCAAATTCTGTGCTGAGAACATTTCTTTGGACTTGTATAAATGCAAATGCGCATAAGCCAAGTTATTATCTTCACCTTTGGGGGGACCAAACCTCTTTTCTATATAGCAATGAAAATATTTAAATAATATATGAAAACAAAACTTTTAATCCATATAGTGGACTCAATTACTGAATGACAGCAATAGCTATTCTTATATAATGAAAAAAATGGTTACATTTAAATTTAAGCTCGAGATGCTTTTAGAAGGGATTTAGTATAATAATTATAAAAGTTAGCAGATTCACAGAGAAATTGAGTATTTATCCATTACTTGGTTGTTCTATGTATAAAAAGATATTTAGATCAATTGATGGAATTTTAACTTGTAAGCACGCTTAAAAATTTTTCAGAAAATAACTAAAATTTAAAAGTGAAAAAGGTACTAGTTATGTCAAAGATTACTTTATCCCATTTCCATGTTACTAGAAATCATTGTTATTACTACTAGAACATGAGGGTCCCTCAAGTATAAGGACATTTCCATAGATGATAGTAACAATGTCAACTGTGTCAACACCTGTAATATATCAGACATGGAACCATGTCTTTAATCTAGGGTATAACATACAGTTTATAAGTTAAAATCCCATCAATTGATCTAAATATCTTCTTATAGGTAGAGATGGACGGCCATGGACAGCGGAATAGAAAAATATTCTAATGTTAAAAAAAAAATTGTCCAAGGAGAGGCTGAGATAATTCACATCCCCTTCCTTTCATGTGTTCTAAATGTTTATCTCTTGTAGAGCTTAAATTGTTCTCTTTGGACATAAACCACCGCTGAAGCATTATCTTTAGCACACTCTGTGGTCTTTCTAGCTTCTCATCATATTTGTGATTTTATTCTAGGTATGTCAAAAATATGACCTATCTTGTATTTCATACTCATGGATGTTAAAGCCATAAACGTACTTTTATAAATAAACACAAAAGCATTAGCAAATTGGGAGAAAAACTTAAATTATCAATAAATATATTTTCAATGTGATGTGTACTATTCTAGCGGGTTAAGATAAGGAAAATATATAATTCTAAATATTGCATTATCAGAATGCATAACAGTAAAGAAAAATATAAATAATATTATGTGAGCAATTTTATCTATCAAATTAATTACATTAGCAAAGTAGTTAAGAATTTGGAATCAGTTCTAAATTAATCGTTAGAAAGACCAAGAAAAGTTTGTTTACATGACTCTCTGGCTTGTAATTATTGACTAAAATTACTACATAATCAAATAGCATGATCAAATTACCTAACCAATCATTGACTTAGTTAAAAAAAATCCAGCTTGGCTGAATTCAAGTCAATTATGACTGTTTGCATCATATAGTCCTTCTATACTAAACGAGTTATC